GAAAAAAAAAAAAAAAAAGAAAAAGAAAATAATATCCTGATTTTCCAGCTTCACCAAAAATGCTACACACCTTATGAATATTCTGGTCAGTTACTTCTAGCCACAAAGATTCTTCCTATCATATTCTCTGGTTAAGTCCCCAGCTTCCTTCATCCTGAAAACATATTTCCACTGAGCCACTTGAGGTACATATTCCCATTATGCCTAAAAGTTGAAGGAATCAACTGGACTGGGCTGCCAGTCCTAGATCTGATATTTACTTGCTGTATGACTGTTGTAGGCAGAATAATGGTCCTCTAAAGATATTCACATCCAAATTCCTGGAACCTGTGAGTATGTTAGTTTACACAATAAAAAGGAATAGAGATTTGAGAATGCTACATTTTTAGTTTTGAAAATGGAGGAAGAAGGCCATGAGCCAAGGAATGTGGGTAGCTTCTATAAGATGGAAAAGACAAGGAAATTAATTCTCCAATGCCTCCAAAAGGAACACAGTCTTTCTGACTGACACTTTGATTTTAGTTCAGTGATATTGTGTCAGACTTATCTCCAGAAGTGGAAGATAATATATTTATGTTGCTTTAAGCTACTAGGTTTGGTGTAAGTTTTTACAGCAGCCATGGAAAAATGAATACAGTGACCTTAGCCAAATCCTTGACTGTCACTAGGCCTTAGCTGCCCCTTAAGGTCAATGAAAAGATTGGATGAAGTCTAATGCACTTTTAGTTGTAATATTCTGAATCTAAGAGGGTAGATCGGGGATAGAGAGGCATATGGAAATGAATCTCAGTGTACTTAGGATTTATTGCTGCAGCTGGCTTGTTTTCATGAGACTCAAAGATATTATGTCCTAGGAATCCAGTATTTGTGGTCCTTAGAGTGTCTTGTTGGAACTAAGAGAATTCAAGTTATAAGCTGCTACAAATCAAAGAAATATTCTCTTTAAAAGAGAGTCAAGTACTGAAAAACTTGGTAGAGAAAATAGGGCACAGACGCAACATCTGAGAGCTTAGACTTTGCAGAAGGTTATTTTCTCATTTTCTAAATCAACTCTTCATGAGACATTTTCTAACTTCTCTTCTCCCAATAGATGTTCTTCTGGGAGATGAATAGAGCTATGGAAGTCTTGAAGCCAAAGATGGCAATGCAAAGGTGGCACATAAAACAGGTTTGAGCTATGCCCAGAGATAGCCAAAAAGCTCTGCAAGTAGAAAAGGAGAGGTACAAAGAGCATTTGGAAGTCCA